CTTTTGTACTTTTGGTCACTAAAAAATGTCGCTGGCTCCCGGACTATAAACGTTGCTACAATTACATTTCTGCTCTAATGCACTTATGTACATATAGTATGTATGTTTGTATGTTTGTATCTTCCTATATTGCTGAGAATACAGATAAACGGGCAAACTTATATATATTGCTGTGGCACAAAATTAAGTACAAGACCATTGTGATAATATACTATATATAAAATACAACAAAAATACTGAAAAAATTGCTAATGAAAAACTGGCCAAGTGAAAAAACGGCGTAACAAAAAGGAAAGACCAAAAATAATAAGAACGATGCCTGAAACAAGTTAAATGAGATTATGCGATTAATGCTATTTTTATCGCTCCGAATTGACTTGGAATACTGTTGTTGACGCTGAGGACATTGCAGACGATGCGCAGTGGTTCAAAACTGGAATTTAATGTTCGTAATTCACTAGAGTCTTCATTTTTCAACCAATTTAATTAAGTTTTTTTTTTTTTAATGAATGCTTATAATATTAGCAAGACACCAGTTGATCCTGATTTTTTTTTTTAGTGTAAACTGCGGAAAATTAGGAATTTTGAAGAAAAGCGATTCTCCTGTTCCAGTTAATAAACGTAACATAATAAAATCTAGTTTAAAAGAATTATAGGGTCCGCAAAAAATGAAACAAAATTAACCAAAATCATTTGAAGTGTTAATAAACCAATTTTTATATTTCATATTTCATATTTTTTATAATTAAAAATCAACGCGAGCTCTTAGCCACTTGAAACTTGCACTTTATCGTACTAAAATTTCATGAGCTACAAAATTGCATACCAAGAACTTTCCCAAGTACTAAATAAAAAATCATTTAATTTGTTTTTTAAACATTTAACATTTTTTTTTTTTTGATTTTTTTCGTTTCGGGGGAACCCCCTTACAACTGTTTTCAATTAGTTTTTATTGTGTAACAATTATTAACTGGAACAGGAGAATCGATTTTCTTCAAAATTCCTACTTTTTCTGAAGTCGGCACTAAAAAATTTAACGCAAGGAAATGAAAATTCGAAAATCGGGTCTCTTGCAAATTTTATAAGCTTTCTGTAAAAAAAAAACTTGATTAAATTGGTTGAAAAATGAAGGTGAAAGATCCAGTGAACATTAAATTCCAGTTTTGAACCACTGTGCAGTGTCCTCAGTAGGGCTGATGATACCCGGGTACCCGGGTACCCGATTACCCGGGTATTACCCGGGGCTTTTATTACCCGGGTAGTCGGGTATTACCCGATTTGCCCGGGTACCCGGGTAATATACATATGTTGGTGCCGGTTAAACGAAAAACACCCGGGTAATGCGACATAAAGCTTCTGTATAATCTTTTTGGTGAGGATAAATATTTTTTCAGTGAGAAAATTTTTTTTTATAATTATTTTTTTTATGTCTAGAGTGTACGCGACTATGTACACCTAACCGCTTGCCTGAGTAGACGGAGACAAGAAAAGTAAATTAAAACATTAGTTTCTGTACTTAAATTCAAACTTCTAATTTTTGTAAATGCATATACATACATGCATGTGTACATATGTATGTATGTATGTATATTTTAAAGAATATTAAATATTAATATTTTAAAACAGGGACTGAGAACGAAATGTATGATCGAAACTAAATGCCATTGTCGTAGTTTTGTTCCCAAGAACGCGTCAAAACCAAAACCAAAATGAGAACAAAACTGACGAGAACGTTCTCATTGGGAATTATATAAGAACTAAACCCTGTGGTAGGCCACTTCTGGTACAAAAAGTAAGGTGACAAAGCCTTATGCTATTCATTCACCTAAAGATTTTGTACTTTTATTGTATCAGCTTGTTCAAATTATAGTTTCTTTTCTCATAATATTTAAAGCTTTTAAAATCACAATTATTTAATGAAGTTTCCTTAATACGAGAAGTAGGTT